GACTTTAAAACATAAAATTGGTTTCCAAAATTCCCAATTATATAACTTCTAAATCCACCCTTAACAACAACGACCATGCGAATTATTCAATTTTACGTGTATACATTTAGTAAAAATTGATTTGTATCTTGGTTTTCGGGTGAAGACGCGGATCCGATCACAATCCAAGTAAGAATACTTCAAGTTGGCGCTTGATTTGTAAACGGTAGATGGGTAGAATATGGAAATCAACATGACCTGAACATCTTGGTTTATTTATGTATTTCATTTACCCAAATTTGAAATGAGTCTTTCATATATATTTTATCTTTTAACTAATCGCTCATATTATCTTGTAGTCGAAAAAGGGTAATATTTCGTTTGTTCTTGGCCATTTATCATTTAATAGTATTTTCTACAAATTGATGAATACTGAAAAAAACAGAAAAGAGCGAGATAGACTTTATTATCACATAACGATCATAAAATGGTACATATGACATATCATATGCACCCTAATAGCTCTTTTTTTATTTCACATACTCAAATATTCATTTGTTACGCAGATTCTTGAAATACGCTTTTGGGTCGTTTTCAAAAACTTCTCTGAAAATACGACCATCCTTCCCGGGAGCTTTCATCGTCTTCCTTTCCGGTCCTGAGCCCACACCGGAGCATAAACCATTGTTCTTGGCCATTTATCATTTAATAGTATTTTCTACAAATTGATGAATACTGAAAAAAAACAGAAAAGAGCGAGATAGACTTTATTATCACATAACGATCATAAAATGGTACATATGACATATCATATGCACCCTAATAGCTCTTTTTTTATTTCACATACTCAAATATTCATTTGTTACGCAGATTCTTGAAATACGYTTTTGGGTCGTTTTYAAAAACTTCTCTGAAAATACGACCATCCTTCCCGGGAGCTTTCATCATCTTCCTTTCCGGTCCTGAGCCCACACCGGAGCATAAACCAGCAATAGCTCCGACAACACCTAATACGGCCATACCGATTTCAACATACGAAGTCCCGTTGACGTTACTATCATTGTCACTCATTTTGATATGATAATCACAGTTTCAAGATTTACTTTTTTCTTAGAAAAGAAGTGATTTGTGTGATTTTTATAGTTGTAGATGTGATGCCGAACGGTTCATTAGATGAATTAATTACTCAATGCAATTTACTAGGACACGATCTAAGATCTTAATTACGATTCTATATTGGAGTTTAATAGTACTACCGTTGGTAGTCGATTGGGATTTCTAGGGAAGAATATGATGAGACAGATTGAATTTATTTATGGTGATTGGAACAAATTTAAACGGATTTGATCTAAACATATTATCTCCAAAGCTAGAGAATTTACTTTTGCATGTGATAATAACAAATTGGGGAGGGGGGGATTTCTTTTAGATTTGTTCCAATGCGATGTGATGGGGATGGGAAGGAAGAATCTCTAAGCGATTTCAAGAATCTACCAAGATTTCTTGAACGGAACCAGAAACAGATGGGTTTATATAGTAGTATGGTTTTGTTCCACAAATCAATTAAAGTGTATGGAGTGAAGAATTAGCTATGAAAAATAACGGTTGGCTAAAATTATTAATTGAAAAAATATTTAAGGTTCATGTAGTATAATTTACTTAGACAAAACGTCTAGTGCAAACTTCAACATGTAAAATGGGTAGACAAATC